GCAGAACCAGTCAGACTCCCATCTTGACCAGCTGTAGCTTGGTTTCTTCTCCCCCTGCTCTTTAAGGTCACGAGTGTCAAAGCTCATGGTCATCCAGGCTCAGCAGAGGTTCTCTGGTAAAATAAGCATCAGTGGCTCAGCACACCCCTCTTGGTGCCCACTTTTGCTTTAGACTCTGAAGATTATGTTCCTTCTTTGCCAGCTCATCATTGCATTCCAAAATGTTTTTAATATTCAGTACATTATTTTTCAGCTGGCAATTAGTCACAGTAACCAGTCCCCCACAGAGCTTGATGTCCTGTGATTGTCTACTTTTTTGTTTTTCCTCCCTGATTCTGAGCTTTTTAAGGGCAACAGCTGGGTCAGAGTCATCATGTCCCCAGTGCGCACACAGAGCCGGAGTCATGGAGGATTTTGATGGATATTTTTGGATAAAGGAATTTTGTTTGCAGAACTGCTTCTTTCCTCCCTTTTCCTTCTACCTTTGATTTCCCTTCAGAGCACTGTGGTCTGCAGTGACAAACAGAGCAGACCAAGCATTTTCTGTTCCCATAAGTGCAGAGCCTAGCTCAGGGTTCTTTTAAACGATCAGGAAGTCCCTGGCTGCATCTGCAAGAGCCAGAAGTGGAAGGCAGTCATTTGCAGAGTTGGAGAAATCTAGATTCAAAACCCAGCAGTGTCACCACTAACTGCAAATCTGAGTAAATGATTCACTTCTCTAAGCTAAAGTTTTCTTTGAGTTAGGATTCGTGGGCCTCTCCCGAGGATTAATACATATAAGGCACCAGGAACTTATAGTGCTTCATGCGTAGTAATTGTACCTGAGACGCAGTGAACACTGCCTATCAGCGGTGAGGCTGGTGGGTAGGGGTGAGAGGGAAGAATATCAGGCAGGAAAGCCATGGGTGATCTTGGTCAGGAACCAGGATGTGCTGGCCACGAGGATTCTGAGAATTGTGGTTTCATGTAAAGCCATTGCAGCCTGCATCCAGGGTTGCCTCTGCTGAGGCTGCTCAGGACCTGCTGATCCTGGTGGGTTGTCCAGCTCAAGATTGGTGCTTCTGGACAGGGTCTTCGTGGAAAGACGTTTCAGTCTGGGTTCTAAGGGCCCTAGTTCTGGGATATGGGAACAAAGCCAAGGAGGTACCTGATGCACTGAGTCTGTTAGGCCTGGGGGAAGCTGGAGACCTCTGTTGCAGAAACCGTTGTCCAGGGCTGGGCCTGCCCTGGTGTCCTGTGTTTCTGGGCCTGAGGGCTCCGTCATGTCTTTGGGATGCCTCCATGGCCGAGGAGCTCCGTGTTTTCCAGGTTGTGGTTCAAGGGTCTGCCTGGCATAGGTCAGAGCAGGCCCGCTCTTCTGGGCTCATCAGCTCCTGATGGTGGGAAGGTTGTTCCTTCTGCATAGGTTATATACAGTTGGATTCCCTGGGGTTCAGGAAGGTAAGGGTTTGTTATTCCCCCTCAAATAGAGAGAGAGAGACTGTGTGTGTGCGTCTGTGAGGGAGAGGGAGAGACTGTGTGTGCGTCTGTGAGGGAGAGGGAGAGACTGTGTGTGTGCGTCTGTGAGGGAGAGGGAGAGACTGTGTGTG